AGCGGGTTTATCCCAGGTGCCGCGCCCTGTGAGGCATTCGGAAGAGGTCCCCATATGTGGAACCAGCAAGCGTATGGTGTTGTGTGACGACGTCCAAGACCCTCCGTCAGTAGGCCCTTCTACTACCACTCACTCAGACAGTCCTTTGCTGTGCGACAAGGATGAGCCAGAGCGGCATCAACAAGACGGTGCTGAATCTCAAGCCCCCCTGCCGGTGCCTACCGGTGGCCCGATGACGGCCAGCAAACTCAGGAATTTGAGCAACAAGATAACTCGGACTCAGTCACACAAGGACTTCTTATCCATTTGCGTCAAAGAGCATCTAATTCCGAAAGGCTTTCAACTAAGATGGAGATCGCAGTTTGAGGAAGAGGACAGCATCACGATGAAGATAGTCGACCGGGCTTCTCACGACCTCGTCAGATCCTGTCAACAACTCGCCAGTAGGAAGCTGACCTCCCTGAAGGAGGAGTACGACCGGGGTTGGAGGCATCTGTCCATCGTCCTGTCTGCAGCTGATCTGAGCTCTCTGTCAACCCAGCTAAGTCGTGACCGAACACGGATAGGTAGCCGCCTTCAGCGGGTAAAGACAGGCAAGCTTACCAAACTTCGAGAGGGGCTGCATACTGGTGTGAACACTAAGGGTATTGTAGATGAAGCATCAGTGCCCGGGGCTGGAACGGCGGCCTGCCACCCTGTGGATGATTCTGTGACCCCTGTGCAGCTGAACTCGCCAGCCGCTGTGGCACCTACTGCAGTGCCTAGATTAGCTGACCCTGGTGAGGAGGTAGCTGGTGGATCAGGTGGTCCCGCACCGTCTCAGGTGGCTTCTTGTCCCAGTGCGGCCCAGGCGGGGGATAATGATACAGCTGGGGGTTGCGATGTGTCCCATACCGCTACGGCCACCGATAGCTCAGCTGGTCCGTTACGCAAAGGGAAAGGCAGGTACATGGTAGAAAAGGGTCGCGTTAAAGTTACTAATTTATCCAGCAAACAACTGTCACCTAGCCAGCTATCGCTTTTAAGTAAGGGGTTAGGATTTGTACCTGTAAGGAGACAGAAAGTTACGCACCTTCTTGCAGAGCTCAAAGAATGGGAGAGGTTGATGAGACTGCGTGAATTCTGGTCAGCAGGTCATCAAGGTGAAGAGTTGGGCGTACCATCTAATGGGACTTTTGGTGGCGAGTCCTTAGTTGACCAAGATTCGAAATATAAACAATCTCGATGGACACCTGAAAAGGGTAGGGACCCATGGCTGGATTTATATTTAGAGGAGGTCATCCAGAGCGCTGTCAGAGGGATTTCAAAGAACCGAAAGGGTAACCTTAGTAAAAAGGAGGAGGAGGCACTGGTAGAATTGATGAACGACCAGGATATTGTAATTAGGCCGGCTGACAAGGGATCGGGGGTAGTTGTCATGGACACGGCGGACTATCTTGACAGGCTTAAGCGTGAAACTGATGACTCCTCCACCTACAGACTCCAAGACAGAGACCAGACGAAGATTATTCACAAAAAGGTTAAGAACCTGGCAGATAGGCTCCTTAAAGGTGGTTACATTGGCAAACATTTACACAGGTACCTCATCCCGACACATCCTACGCCGGGATATCTACAAGGGAACCCCAAACTTCACAAGGAGGGGCACCCCTTGCGGGTAATAGTAAGCGGACGGGGTCACGCGACAGAAAGGATCGCCGAACTAGCAGAAAAGCAGCTTGAACCACATGTCTTAAACCAGCCTTCTTTTGTAAGAGACACTACAGATTTTATTAACAAAATAGGTCAAACTCAGTTACCTGTTTCGACGACACCGCTGCTCTTTTGTATGGACGTCAGTAAATTATATCCTAGTGTCCCGAGAGACGAGGGCATTGCAGCCTGTAGAGACGCCCTAGATTCTAGATCAAATCCGAGCATTCCCACATCAGAAGTAATCGAAATGATAGAGCTAGTTTTGGATAATAATAACTTTAGCCTTGGGAATTCCTACCACTACACTCAGGTAAATGGCACGGCAATTGGGTCAAAATTAGGTAGAAACTATGCGTGCACGTATTTGGGAATGTGGGAGGGCAAGTTACTGGAGTCTTCTACACTAAAACCCTTTTTGTATTTACGATACATAGACGATATTTTTGGAATTTGGCTTCATGGTGAAGAAAAGCTACGGGAATTCCATACTCTTGCCAACAGCATCCACGACAACATCAAGTTAGACCTTAGGTTTTCACCCACGGAAATAGAGTTTTTGGATGTACGTGTGACTATAGACAAAGGAGAACTACACACCACAATCTTCTCGAAACCTACGGACACAAAAGCTCACCTCCACTTCCTCTCTGATCACCCGCTACACGTTAAGAAGGCTATCCCTTCAGGTCTGGCCATGAGAGCTAAGAGAATTTGCAGCTCTGAGAGTGACTTCCTGGACCAAACCAATGAGATCACTCGCAATCTTTTAGACAGGGGTTATCCGGAAACTATAATTAAGAGTGGACTTAGCCGGGTCAAGAATGTGGACAGAAAAGCAGCTCTGGAGGGTAGGGTGGGGAGGTCTATCAAGAAGGGGGTCCCTTTGGTGGTCACTTACTCTAGTCACTTGCCTGATATTAGGAACATTGTTAGGAGTAAGAAGCACTTACTTATGCGCTCTGATAACCTTAAAGACGCATTTGGTGCCGACAAAGGAACATTTGTATCTTTTAAGAGGGGATGCAATCTTGGGGATCTTTTGGTGCATAAAAAAACGAAACGAGTAAGCCAGACAACGGAGGGAAATCATGGAAGCTGTGGAAAAAATTGTGTGGTATGCAAGGTTATGTACAAAGAGCAAATGAGGATTCGGGGAACGGGGGGTGACGTGTGCACCTACGACTTAACGATTGGATGTAAATCGAGTAATGTTGTTTACGGCATTCTGTACTGTGTGTGACTGTGTTGTTTATGTGGGAGAAACAGGGGGGATCCTATATCACAGAATTCAAAACCATCTGTCGTCTATACGCTGCAGGCGAAATGAGATTGAGGTAGCGGCGCATTTCAATGGTGAGGGTCATCACTTATCGAACGCTAAATTTGTCGGACTAGAAAAGGTTTGGAGGAATTGGGTTACATACAGAAGAATACGGGAACAGAGATGGGTGGGACTTTTTAATACGCATAGGGGTCAGGGCGGGCTCAATAAGAAATTGGCGTAGGCGTGACTGTATGTAAGTTGTAATGTGTAATAGTGAAATTAGGCGGCTCTGTCGTGTAATGGTCTGATATTATGTCGTATCACATATGTCGTGTCACAGCAAATGGTTGGAATTATTGTTAGTAATTCTCGCTATATAGGGATGACCTGAGGGTTGTGTGGATTTGTCTGGATGGAAGCGGGTCCAAAGGAAAAATGTGTGAAGATTTGTGTTTTGAAAATGTGATCTCGAAAATGTTTATATTACTTATTACCGCTGACGAAGTGACAACAATACAGTCACGAAACTGTCCGGAATAGCCGAGTACTTTTATATATATATATATATATATACATATATATATATATATATATATATATATATATATATATATATATATATATATATATATATACATATATATATATATATATATATATATATATATATATATATATATATATATATATATATATATATATAGGGGAAGCGGGGGTAGCACCGCCATGTGGGAAACACCGCCATCCTCTCCATCGGCAAAACTCTGAATTGTAAATGTAAACACCCGCCATTTCGGTGTCCGAACGGAAACGGGACGCCGCGTGAGGTAGGTTTCGCTAAGATTTATTTGATTTTGAGATCGCAATTGCCCATTTTGTGAATTTCAAACCATCGTTGTAATCATTTGGCATGTTTGAGCAGCAGGTAAGTGGTCATTTCAAGTCAAAATGCCTTGATTTTTACGTTAAATTTGAGGGCATGAAGTGCTCTTTGTTGAGAAAGGAATTACAGAAGAATCGCATCCCGGCTTGTTTTGCTGTCGGGGCGTTGTCGGTCCATGACTGTGAGTGGGGTAACACCGCCATGCTCGGCGGTGCTACCCCAAGGGGTGGCAAAATGGATAAAGCCGCAATGATGATTCACTCAGCTCGGAGAAGAGCTTTAGTTAGGCCGCAAACGTCGTCTGTTTTTTAACCTCGCGTTTGACTTCACTGGATGTTTCGAAATAAACGTGAATTGGTCATGCTTTATATGCATATTGTCCGCAACAAACAGTCTGATCTGTGACAAACTAACAACCAACTCTTGTGTGTCTTATATGAGTTTGAGTTACTATTTCAGACAGCAGTAACGCTTCCAAGGGTGGCTGTCACCGTAAGGCCGATCTGTGGATAACATCGCCATCAGTGGCGGTGCTACCCGCACATTTTTTGGAGGACGAAAAATGCAGGACTTGTTTTTGACGTCTGTAAAGTAGCGAAATTTTATAATGGAGCGCTGGAAACTATGCCAACATGTAGGAAAACATTCCTACTTTCACATGAATGCAAAAGAGCTCCGTTTTTACTACGCATATCAGCTCGGTGAGCAGAAATACTTAAGGTGGCGGTGCTCCCCCCGCTTCCCCTATATATATATATATATATATATATATATATATATATATATATATATATATATATATATATATATATATATATATATATATTGACGAGCGGCTATATGTAAGCAACGTTTAAATGGACATTTCAGTCAAACGATAGACGGGCATTTAGCACCAGGCCGGCATGGTTGCTTAGGCGGACGTCGGACATTCCTATCTGAGACGAAAATACCTTCACAAATATTGATAGACTGACCTCCGAGATGAGTATGTACTCAGTACCTACTTACGCCTACCCCTACTTACAACTTTCCATACAGCTAGGTTTCTTAGATCATGACATGTTTAAACGGACTCAGATAGAGCCGTCAGAAATGTTACGAATATTTTCGATATATATATATTCCTTCCTAATACCTATAGTCCATAGACACACCTATTAGACGTGTACATACCTAAGTATATTTGGACAGGATAAGTAGCTATCACATATCGGTGCATATTTAGTCAGACTTAGTCACTGTTTTACGTAAAACAAACATATTCAGACGCCCCTTATTCTCAGACATGTAGACGGCCTTAGACATGTAGGTACTGTATACCTAGACATGCAAACGGTGAACATATTGCGCTGGGCACATCAGATGGAAAATGGACATGTTAGTTGATTTTGTACCCGGAGAGTGAGTTGTAGCCCCGGAACCTGGCGTCGTTTTCGTAGAGGAAGCCCTCGGCCAGCCACAGGAACACTATGTCTCCGCGACCGAGTCGCAGCAGCGCCGAGTTGGACCCCGAGTCGAAACCGCCGTAATTGGCCTCCGAGCTGAGCACGCGACTCAAGTTCAGCATCAGGTCCACCCTGCCGGACAAACGAGGATGCCGAGCTGTTATCCTTTCTGCGTAACTTCGGCGCTAAAAATTAAATCTACCCTGAGGTTCCCTCTTGCATTGCAGCTAAATAAGTTATAACTTATAACCACTATAAATAGGTGCATTCAGTCAGCATTGCATAAGTGATTAATTACCTATACACGGACAATAAAAAGTGATAAGTGAAGCATAGCGCCGTTTCTTCACACCTTAGGCATGGCGGCAGACACTGGTCACTGAGAAGCACCAACTATTCGGCACATTAGCGATCCTACTAACTACACCTGCAGTGATAATCAAGCAGCTCGCAAGTCCGCCCGCGGTCCGTTTGTTACCTTACCTGGCCCGCCCCTGGGACGGGGACAGAGCGTGGAAGGTGAAGAAGTACAGCCCCGGGCAGGAGCAGTGGAACAGGGAGCGCGCCGAGTCCCAGCCGCGACCGACCGATGTCACCACCCTGTCGAACACCACCTGGGGACGCGGTTAGCTCGGTATGTGAGACGGTCCTCGGAGTATACAGTGCGAGTCAGACGCACCCGTACATATGGTTTTAAAACACTCAAAATGGGTAGCACCCTGTATACCCCAAATCAAAACAAACTGAAACTGAAACTAGGACCCTGTCCCGCCATCAGTCTGACCTGTGTAACCTGACCTGACCTCAGTTTGCCCTGTGTATGCCCCGCCCACAGACTGACCTGTGTGCCCTGCCCCGCACTCAGACTGACCTGTGTACCCTGTCCCGCCCCCAGACTGACCTGTGTAGTGTGTAGGTACCCCTGCCCCGCTCTCAGACTAACCTGAGTGCCCCTGTCTCCAGCCTTGCGTCGGCGGTAGTTGGCCTTGGCCGCGGTGAAGCCCACCGTCCGACACGCCTGTGGGGAGGACCCGGCGCCGCCGGCTGACCCGGTCACCCGGGAGTCCTCCCCCTCACAGCCGGGAGCGGGGGGAGTCCACAGGTCAGCTCTGCTGGCGTTCAGCGGTCCCAGCAGGGCGTCCACAGGACTGGTGGGGGGCACCACCGCGCCGGGAGTTCCTGTGGAACATACAAAGGCCACACTGATTTGCGAGGACCAGCAGAATCGCACTATGTAAATTCCTTTCTATACTGACCTGTAAGGCCTTGCATTACACGAACAGTGCCGACACCCGTACCTAATCGGGCTGTGTATTACGGGTCAAACCGAGCCATTCTCACGGCTGACCTGACCTGACCTGACCTGCGGCGGCGGCAGCTGCGATGGCCGCCTGTCGACTGCCGTTCGGGTCGTCCACTTCCGTGAGGTCAGGCAGGGGCGCCGCCAGGCCGGGTCCCAGTCGGCCGAGCGGCCGGCCGGCGCCCACCAGCCGCGGGGGAAGCGACAGCAGCACCAGCAGAGGCAGGAGGCGCAGCGGAGCCGTCAGCATTGTCCGATCAGGTGCAGCGGTGACCAGCGCAGAACCCGAGCCGAGACACTGCACTCGAGGTGCGTCCCTCTGTCGCCCGGCCCGTCCCGGGGCGCTCCGCCGTGTGCCGACTGCAGAATACAGCCAACTGAGGAGTCAGCTCAGTCCAGTGTGACCCGCTGCCGTCTCGCCTGGACGCGTCCCCACCCTGCGACACTGCTGATCCACGTCAGCGGCTCGGTCACCGGGTCACAGGTCACGGCTGGAGAGCTGAGGTCACGGCTGGGGAGCTGAGGTCACGGCCGGTGGGCTGTCACCGTTATAGAGCTGTCACACCTGGTGAGCTGACATATACAGTAGCTGAGGGCGGGAGTCGGCTGTCACCTCCCTTGCTCCCTCACACCAGTGTTGACAGGTGCCACTCCTGCTCCCCCACTCCGTTGCGCTGGCGCCGCCCCTGCCCCCTACTCCGGTGTGCTGGCGCCGCCCGTGCGTCGTTCCGCGGCGCCGGTGAACGGGCGGCCATGATCGAATGCGCCGGCCGCCGACGGACAAAAGGAGCGAGTCAGGCGGGCACCGTGAGCATTTTCAACGGGAAAACAGCGCCAACTGATTATGTGTTTGCTGCTTTTGAACTGCGTCATCTACGGGTACACCTTGTTTTTCTTACTGTACGGAGTAAGTCGTGGCTAGTAAATTATATTTTTGGGTAATGGAGTTAGAAGTGTTGAATTTCTTGAGTTGTTTATTTAAATTGACATATAGATAATTTTCTTTTTACTTCACCACATTTACAATTTTTATTATCTACATTCTAAAAGAATAAAAATAATAAAAATAATTTTAGATCAGACTTTGGGGATGCCTTGGTTCACTTTTTTCCGTGTTTAGTCGTGGCTAGTAAATAATACCTACTATCATCACATGCCACAAGAATGGATCCGAATGCTTGAACTACTATTGAGATTAAGTAACAGATTATTACTTTCATAATAAGAAGAGTCGATATTTTAGTCCTTTATCTATTTTGATGTGCATTCGCAACTTCATTTCTGATTGAAAGCCAGAGTTTGGATAAGCACCGGTCACGAAGAACATCTACAATACCTATACATAGCCCGAAGATATTACTACGCCATGACTCCAAACGGTTTGATTCTTGGGAAGGTTTCGATTTTAGAATATATGACGAAAAGGAAACTGTTGTGATTCCTACGGTGAAGCGCCGCGTACCCGAACTCCATTTGTGAACTCGTGTATACTCCATTGAAACCAGTGGCGAAACATTAACATTTTCCGATCGGGAAATCAGAAATGTTTCAGAAATCCAGGAAGTCTTAAGCAATGTCCTCACAATAACCAAACTAGGATCAGTCAGCCAATGATTGAAGGTAGCGAGCGCAACCCACGCCTCCGTTTAATACTCATTCGAGCAAACCATGTCTCTTCACACTGCATTTATTATACGCAGGTAATGTGACACAGTTTCACAAGTAGAAATAAATCGATATAGATCATCGGTCGTTTATTGAACGTCAAAAACCCGGTTCGGATCACTAAGGCCACGCAGGAGAGAGTTCACTGACCCTCACACAACTCATGAACAAATACAGGACACAATAAAATTACGAGTACAACTCATACATATCCTTACACACATTCAATTCAGTCAACAACATAATTGTACCTGACGCATCGAATGATTGTTGGCACGAGTAAAAATGTTGCTCCTAGCGCAGATCTCATAAATATTATTTAAGCCCGATATGTCCTACGCTATCCAGCAACCACTCCATTTTAAGAGTAACCCTGTGGCCTGTTAATTTAGCAGCAGGAGCATAACGCGACCCCGGTCCCCAACGGCAGCCCTCTGTCTAGGGGACAATTAGGACTCAAGGATTGCCAGTAGTCGGCAATGAGGCAGTCCATACATGCTCCATCGAGGAGCGGGGCACGTCGAGTAATCAGCATATCGGGGCAGACATCGCGCCAGCCACAGGTGGGCCCCGCACAGGCACGGGCAGCGCAGCAAGACGTGCTGCGGGGTGTCCGCCTCCTCCCCGCACACTAGACACCGAGCGGCAGGGCAGGCGGTGTCCATGCAGCCGGGGCAGTCGGGGGTCGGCCGGCGGCCGATGCGGTGGAGGTACTGTGTTGATACGCTCCATTGGCCGGCCCGTAGCTGGTGAATATCCACCGCTGCCTCTCTGCTGTCGAGTCGCACCGGTGCAGGCAGGGTCCGATCCGGGAAGATAGAGCAGTACCAGCCGCCGGGCAGGCTCTCCTGCCATGATCGGCGCGCAGACCTGGCGGCGGCGCGGGTGATGCTCTTGACATCCAGGGGGGGGGGGGGGCGTTGGTCTGCTCGAGTTCGGCGGCCTCCATCGCCAGCATGTCGGCCCGCTCGTTGCCCGGCAGACCACAGTGGGCCGGGACCCACTGGAGGTGGAGACGGCGACCGCGGTTGGCCAGCTGCATTAGGAGCCGCCAGATAGCGTCGCCTAGCTGGCTCGTCTGCGCCGCCGGTCCCGCATCCACTGTCTGTTGTGCCGCCCTGGAGTCGAGGCAGACGATGATGGTGTCCGGGTGAGTGTCCTGGTCTGGTGTGAGGTCTGATTCGGCAATCTCCTCCAGGGCAGCACGAAGGGCCACCAGCTCAGCTCTGGTGCTGGAGCATAGGGCGCCGGCGGGGGTCTTGACCGTCCACTCGGCTCCGGCGGGGAGGACGATCAGGGCGCCGCCCCCTCCTCGCACGGTGCCTCCCTCCGCCAAGCCGTCAGACCACACCCACGTCGCCCGCTCTGCTCCGGGGAGGTCGGCCAGCATGGCCTCCGCTGCCGCGCGGCGAGCCTGGTCGCCGGCGCTACGGACGCAGTCGGGCGGAACGGCACAGGAAGTCGTGATCCCCTCACTTGAGGTCCACGGAGGGAGCTGTGCAACGACCATGGGTTCCACCTGGGAGGCGGTGACGCCCAGGGCGTCCAGCGTCCGTCTGCCCTCGTCGCGCCATCCTGTGATGTTGCGGAGTCGGCAGGGACGTGAGGCTTCGGCGAGCTCCCGGAGCGGATCTCCGGCGGGTAGTGCGGATGCGCGCGCCAGCAACCTCGTCGCGAGGGTGGCGCGTCGCATTTCCGCGGTGGGCAGGCTGGCCTCCGCCATGAGAGCGTGGGTCGGCGCTGACCTGGGGCACCCCGTCACGGCGCGGGCCGCTGCGCGCAGCTCCCGGTCCACCAGCTCCAGGTGGGAGCGGGATGCTGCGGGGAGCCACGCGGCCGCCGCATATTCGATGGCGCCGCGGACGTAGCCGTTGGCCACCGCGCGTAGGTGGTGCTCCTGAAGTCCCCAGGAGTGTCCTGTGAGCTTGCGCAGCTGGGTGGTGCGAGGGCCAGCCTTCCTCTTGAGGTTGGTGCAGTGCTCTCCAAAATGGAGCAGCCTGTCAAACAAACGTGACCCCAAGCAGCTTGATGGTGGAGGTCGCACGGACAGGAACGTCCGATACCTTGATGACGGCATCTTTGGCGTCCCGGCTCCATTGGGACAACACCATTATCTGCGTTTTCTGGCTGGCGATCGTCATCTTGTTGCGCGCCGCCCACCCCACCATGAAGTCCGCCGAGTGCTGAGCTGCAGCTAGTGCTGTCTGGATCGTCGCGCCGGCGCTGAGGGTGGCAGTATCATCGGCGTATCAGTCAGCTCGGAGAGGGAGTGGGCGGACGAGGTCCCGGTCACGGAGCACGGACGGCGCGCGGCGGCATTTAGCAGACCTCGCCAATCTGAACATTAGTCGGGCTACGACTGGACCACAGCCCGGTCCACCACTGCCAGGACCGCCGCGCGGCGTGGGCATTTTACGATCAGCCAGCACGCCGCCGCACGGGACCACGCGGCGGCTGTGACCTTCAGTGTTGTTGTCCTTGCTTCCTCCAGCCGCTACCGCGGCGTAATGGTACAGCTCTCGAGGTTTCTCACGGCGGTCGTCAGGGCCGCCACCTCTTCGTCCTCACGGCTCACGGACCGCCTCGGGGCTCAGGAAGACGGTGCCGAATCGACGGAGGCTCCGTCATATGAGGGCCGGGCACCGAAAGAATAGGTGATGGGGGAGGGGGGGGGGAGTCGATGTCGGAGCGCTGGCGGCGTTCGTCAGTAGGGTTCTGTTCTATACAGTGAAGATACTGGCGGAAGCCCAACCACTGGCCCGTACGAAGCCGGTAGAGATCGGCAGCCGATGCTCGGTACTCCGCAACCGCTAGCGGCGGCAGGCAGCCCCCCCCCCCCCATCAGAAACTGGCACCAACTGTCCGGCCAGGCGGCGGTGGCACAGTGGCGGGCCAATCTGATGGCCGCGCGGTGGGCAGTGCCAACATCCCCCGGGACTGTCGCCTGGGGGAGCGGGGCCGCCTCCGCGCTCGAGGCTCGCGCTCGAGGCTCCTTAGCGGCCTGGTCGGCGCGCTTGTTACCATCTATGCCGGAATGGGACGGCATCAATTGCAGGTGGAATTGGCGGAACAGGACTGCCAGCCCCGTCCACACGGCGGCGCCCATCGAGGTTTTCTGTGTGGCTGGGCCCTCCCTCAGTGTCGCGAGCGCCGCCTGGGAGCCTGTGCAAAAGACGACCGGGGCGCTCAGGTGCCACAGGTGGTCGCGCTGATGGCTGAGCGGAGCGCAGCCATCTCCGCGCTCTAGCTGGTGCAGAGCTGGCCAAGGCCCCGGCCCCTCCGCTGCGGACTCTTGCGTCAGCCGGCCCGTCCGTCCATACCCAGGTGGCTTGGGAGAAAGAGCGCCTCGGACGTACTTGATGGTCATGCAGATTGTAGGCCTCACGAGTGGCCAGTAGGTCTCCTCGGCTGCGCAGTACATGGCGCATCCTCCTTCGGATGCGGCCGGCGCGGAGCCCTCGGTGGTAGATCAGCAGGTAGAGCATTACTTGCACAGCTTGATGATCAGAGTCGCTCGGGCGGTCGCTGACGCGCTAGCGCTCGTCACCAGTGGCGGGGCAGGCTGGCAGGGGCCAGGGCTGTCTTGCATCAGCCGAAGGCCCCTTCCATCGCCAGAAGCTGAAGCTGGCTACTGGCCTAGACCGCCAGCATCGTGGATTCGTGCTGTTTGATAAGCTCATTTCTCTAATCTGAAAACAAACAAACAAAAGTGGTTTCAAAAGGTATGCACACTGAAGTCAATTGCCAGTGAACCTTGTCATGACTAAAAATACAACCTGCATTGATTCCACACAGAACAAAAAAGTTAACATTGGGCTTAATAAGAATAATGGAGCACCATACAACATATATTGTATACATTCAGTATTATTTGCAATAATAAAGAATAGCACATGCTCACAGCAACCCAACACCACTGGCCACCCAAGTACTCCAGGCTCAAGTCATTGTTGATGACTCAACCATATCCAGGAAAGTCAACAATTTTTCATATTTTCAACTGCATGAACATTTTATGCTGATTGCACAACTAACTGACTCAAATTTGATGTTTTAAAGCAATTCATATTTGCTGAGATGACAATGAGCAATGTGAACATGTGCTTCTAAATGAAAATGATAACAATGCAAAGCACAACCAAAAGTTTGTAAATATTTAGTGGCTGCTTCCTTTTGTACCACCAGAAGGCTGACCTCACTGACATTCATGTGTTTGAAGAAAGAGAGGAAACCTTTGCTTATTAATAAACTTACCCACTGATAACTGGCCAGAATTATAGGCTTGCTGCTTTTTCTGAGTGATATATTTTCAAAATAGCCCTGGTTTCTTCATAAATGATAGGAGATTGTCCTGCAAACATGAGAATGCATGTCAGCAATAACTACAGCAAAGATGCACTTTCAGTGTGGGTGTCATACAAAGAATGGCCATTATGGAGAGGTTGCCTGAGCCATGTGAAGCCAAATATGCACCCTCATATGGGCGCGCATACCTATTTATATTTGGATGTTACATCACAAGCTAAAGCACTTCTCAAAAATAATATCATTTCTAATTCTTGTAGCTGGTAAAATGTAGGACATTGTCGGCTATTATTTTCTTTCTGGTATTTGTCAACATGAAGTCCTAACTACAATTGTGACACTGTTGATATGCAACAACAGAAATTTCAGGTTTTAGGTTAGTTTAGGTTGTAGATTTGTATGTTTTAGGTTGCTAGGTTGTAGGTTGTTAGGTTGTAGGTTGTAGGTTGGTAGGTTATAGGTAAGTAGGTAAGGTAAGGTCAGGTTTGATTGTTTTTCTTTTATTTGCGAGACACGTAAGTATCATTTTAGGATTCAGGATGTTAAATAATGTAAGAATATGAATAACAATATCCTTGAAATCTTCTTAGGACTTTATCTTTACATTTGCCTTCTTTGTTTGTATTGTTTGTTTTTTTGTTTTTTTTTGGTGCTGCTAAAAGGACAATAGCCGTGTTTACATAGAGATCGTTGCAAGCTCCATCTGTTTTTAGGGCCTTGGCTTCATCCATTATCTTGCAAAAGATGGCAATGGTGCTGAACAATTTACAGAATGATCCCCTCTAAATATGCGAAGATCACTGCATGGAAATTATCACAAAATAAATAAGCTAGAGCCTAGTCAAAAATGCGATGTAACCAGGCATACCTATTATTTCACGCAACAGCAAGCACAATTGCCACAACCAATGGAAAAATATTTCAAAGTTTAACTGATATGAATACATATCTGATTTCAGACACGAAATTCAACTTCTGTCTCACCTGATAACGAGATAATTTAATTATAATTGATAGCTTCGTGACACCCTCCCCACTTCTCTCATGTTTTGGCGGTGCGGCGGAAATGACGCACACGAGACGCACGAGACGCAGCTCCAAAACAATAGAAGCATGCTTTCCCTACGGCCGACGAAATTCTATAATATTTTATTTCCAATTTGTGATTCCTTAACATCTAAACTTTGGTAAAACGTCAATGCAGTTAAAATTGTTTCTAGTATTCTATTTAGATTCAGCTGAGAAAATATCAAACGGAAGCCCATGGTCTCGAAACTGGGCGAATTCCTTAGTACTTATCATTTTTTTCATAGCAAAATTTTTGGAAGAAAGGGTCAGTTATAGCCGATAACATCTAACTGAGTGGTTACTGACCATATAGCTGGAATAATCAATAACTGAGGATTTCGTGGAAGTAAAAAAATCATCAAAGCAAGACCTCTTTAGCGAAGAAAATAGCTGAAATACTGGAAAATAGGAGGTGATGGCTGAGGGTGCCCCAGGGTTTTCCGCATTTTAATTAACCTTAACATCTTATTTGAGGGGATTGTTGTACCTTATTGAAATCTCTGAGCGATTTTGAATTTACGAGTGTCCTAATATCATCAACCCAATCTTTGGATTTCACGAAATCGACGCTGGCAAAAAGGCTTTTTGAGTGCCTGATTTTAATTACTTTTCTGCGTAAGTAAAATTTAGATGGGCAAGAGATAAATAATTCACCAATGAAATCAAAAGATGCGGCTTTTTTGCCAGTTTGGGCGAATTCTGTAGTGTAGTTATCGATTTTGAAAATGTAAATGCTGCTAATGGAATGCCAGGAATGTGAACCAATAGGGTCCATGTTGAAGGAAATTCTCGGCGTTACCTAGTATTTTTATCTACCGTGGAGCGAGTGAGCGCCGCGACGGGCTGACACGCGGAGCGACCGGCGGCTGGCGGTGGACGACGCTGCGGCTCACGACCGGACCGACTTCTGCCGTGAGTACCGCCTGGGGCTCAGGGGAGCGACCGTGCAGGGGGGGGGGGGGGGGCTGTTGGTCACGGCCCGCTGGCCGCAGGAGCAGTTTCGCACCAAATGGCCAGCGGGTCCATTTATTGTCGGCGGAGTGGGACGAGACCGGTCCGAACTGCTGATGGGCGCGTTCAGAGCCCATCGGCCCCGGCCCCGGCCACTCCTGCGCACCTCAGGGCGGCGTGTTTTTGTTGTTTGTCGCCATGTGCCGCCGGGCTGTGTGTCACGTGACCTTGGAGGGACGGGCGGCGCGGTCTCCCCTCCCCGATTTCTGCGTCTGGCCGGCTCCGGGGGCCGATCGGCGCCGTGCCTGGGCCGCCGGCGGCCGCCTCCTCTCCCGGCGCCGCTCTATTATTGAGCTGCGGCAGCCCTTATATCCCGGCGGCAGCTCGGCCGGCGGCGGTGCCTCACCAATGAGTCGGAGGTGCGGATCGCACGCTGACGGGCCGAACGGCGGCGTGGGTGCCACAGGAGCGACCGCCGCCCGCGGCACTGACATTCGCGGCGGCCGAGTTATGGAGGACAAACGCCCGTCACATAATGGAACGGCCGGGTCACGCCGGCGATAGCCGACGGAGCGCCGATTTGCAGGCGGGCCCCGAGCTGTTCATTATTGGGGGCTGACCGGAGATATATACTCACTGAAATGGCGAACTGGGTTCTTTGTTTTTATTGGTGCCTGTCGGACCACATCATCCTCGCAGCTCGCTCTATCGCTATTTGAAGCGCGCGGTTTGACGCTTACCTATATGTCTGTGCCAAAAGGTTCTGAACGCTGGTTAAATTGCTCAACCCATTACTTGGGACGCTTATATGTACATAATGCAGTTACACCCTGTATAGGCCCCAACGTAGGCCCCCATAAGCCCCCAAGGGCCCCAATGGGTTAGACTAGAAGTTGGAACCGATTATTGATAGGTAAGACGGTAAATGAAAACACTGCACTTGTGATGGCTAGAATGGTGAATGCGGAATAAATATTCCACATAAAATTCAGGGACGGGATCTGAAGTTAGTCATTCATTTTCGCTCCTAGCTTTAAAAGCTATCTGGACTTCTCTGGATCTCACGCCCTGGTCATATGGTCATTATATTCAGCGGCACTGGACGACCTCTAATATCGCAGCGGCACCCACCTACCCTTTTTTACTGCCGACCCACGGCCGCCACTTCTTGTTTTCAATTTATGCGATATAATTTATTATGAATTCGTTGTTTTAAACGAAATTTTGATTCGGTCATGCTGGCGTGCCAAGCAACCAAAATCTGAAGAGCGTACTAATAAGTGCACATTTATTTTTATAGCGATAGTAACAGTAGGTAGGTAGGCATCCCTAAATGGAAAGTTTGATGCATTTTTATTATAATGGATGGATTATGAATCAATATTTGAGGAGGGGAACCGTTTATGGTTTCGCTTTATTGAACTGTATTCTTATTAGGCTGTGCAAACACTCGGAATAATTGTTTCATTCATTTATGTAGATCAATGTAGGCAGGCCTCGACTGCATGTTGACACGTACAAAGTGTCGCCAGGCCCTCGGAGTAATAGGGCTCCGCTAAAGGAAAGACATCGATTTGTCAATTATGCCAATGCGGTCCATTTTGGGCCGAAATGAGCTGCAGACCAGGTGGTCCTGGGGACGGTCCCAGGGGTGGTCCGTGGACCGGTCCAAAGCTGCTGCACACCGTGCATTACGTGCATCTTTATCGCAGAGCGCCGCCGCGGGCCTCGTCAATCACGCCGATGCGTTATGTCCACAATGTCATTTGGCATTGGTGTGCCGGCCGGCCGGCATGCTGTGCAGAGCGTTCAAAGGAGCCGCGCCGGGGACACTGATCACTGGGTGGGCCGCCTGGCTGCCGGTCTCTGCCGGGTGAACGGCCAATCGGCGCCGACTCGTCAAAATAGAGCTATATCGATGGGTGAATACTCGTTAAACTGTGCAACAATTCATTTCATTTGGTTATTAATTCGGGAGTTTTCTTACGTAAAGTTGAAGACATCGAATAGCTGGAATCATTTTCATTCCCATTCTGATGAAAATACGTGATCTATAGGAAAATGTCTAGCATGTTTTGTTGACGTTACGACTTCATTGTTCTTTATATTTTACTTTTGAGAAGAAAACATGAGCAGTTCCTATACCATGTCACAGGCAGATTTTCCAAATGTGAGATAAAAAACAAGCTTTTGTGTTAGCTAATAGCTTCTAAGTGTTAAGTCAAGTTAAGTGTTGTCTCCGTCCCATCGAGACGGTTCTCGGACAAGATTGCACGCGTCTACTGCATGGCACACATTCTCACATATCGTGTAAAAGCACACATCAACAGTGCACAGTGCACATAAAGGCAGGGTGCTGGACCGCATCTGGAACTGTGTGGGCGCCAGCAGCGCCTGCATCACCCCTGTGGGCGCCAGCAGCCCCCCCCCCCCAACCCGCGGGCGTCGCTGCCCTGCGGGCTCACACCCAGGGGGGCGTCAGATGACGCTTCTGGTGGGCCCTTCTGCCACCTTTGACTTCAGAATGGCGCCCATTCCCGATATTTGTAATATGCCGTTTGCGGTAGTTAACTGACAATGCTGACTGTCCAGTTTGCTTTGATGGTCCTGGATGGTCCATAATGGCCCAGAGTGGTCCCTGGCAGCCCAGTGAGGCTTCCGCGGCCTTGAATAGTCTGGACCGACTGTCTGGCCCCGAGCAGCTGTCCAAACAGCCCTGGCCAGCCGGGCCCCGCGTTGTCCCGCACAGCACTGCCACATTACCGAATACCGATGGTCCTTATCCGCCACATCCCATTGGTCTAACGCAGGGGCGGGCAAACTTTTGGGAGCGCGGGCCGGGTGTTGCATTTGTGAGCAACTGGGGGGCCGGAGTGCTAAGCTCGCCATAGTTTCGTTTGTCGATGACTAAAATGGATGCTATGTTGCTATGACGCGACTGACCAACGACGGGCAATGACTGGCTCATGACAGAGACAAATACCTATAGTTACACTTACAAACGAATGACTTTTGACCCATGACAACCATACTAAAAATCAAGGGTGCTTATGTAAAATGCACACACACACACACGCACTAGAAATCATAGGTCTCGCGGGTCGGATTGCAATGCTGGCTGCCTATCCAGGCCACGGGCCGGACGCCGGAGCTTGGCGGGCCGCATCCGGCCCGCGGGCCGGACTTTGCCCGCCCCTGGTCTAACGTATGGCCGCGACATTCCCGATGTTCCAGCACTGGTCTGCGATGTTGTCGGTGATCCATCGCGCGGCTGAGACGCTGCCGGAGTTCGGCACAGGCTTGTGACATTCCCTTTTCCCCAGTTGGGATAGATCTGGCGGTAGACCTCGTCATACCTGTGCCCCGTAGCTGGGACCATTAGCAAACCTCCGATCATATCGGCTTAAAGCCTGACGTTGGTGGATGCTTTTCGTGACTCGGGATTTTGTGTCTTGTGTTGTAGCGATAAGAGGGAGTCCACATTTTAGGTGGCGTTTAGCCTCTTCACATTGTATTTTCAGCTTGCTTACATAATCAATCATAGCTTGCGCAGTACAGTGTGCTGATTCAGTCACATAATCCACGCTATTGCATTGACACGCTTCTTCTCCATCCCTAACAATGCCACAAGTGTCAATTGCCAGTTAATGATACTGGCCGCCGCGGCCTTTTGGCCTCCGGGTGCAATGCGGCACAGCCTAGTTCCAGGCGTTTGTTGACTGCCATCTAGCGGCAATGGTTTCGTTAGGGCGCTAACACCATTGAGCGCGAATATGCCTGGGCCCGGCTGATTAGCGGTTCTAGCGAGTACGACCAGGTTTTGTGTGGGATTGTTTTGCTTTTCTTTTTCCTGTGTCTGGTTCAATTGAAGTTTCGGTTTATTCCTTCTTTGATTTCTGCCTATCATGGCACCTTTCAGCACTGTTTTGCTGAGTTTGGTGAGCCTTCAGTTGGCCGTTGTTTGGCGTATCGCAACAAACCACTCAATAAACGTCCTTTTAGGAGGTAGCAGACGGAAGTTGTCGGTCTTTTGACGTTTCTGTTTCAAGCAACTTGTTTCTGCGGTAAATATTCGGGTAAATGACAAATGGGTAAATGTAAAACTTCTCAGTGACATCGTTTATTGTCTTTGTTGCGATGCCTGTGCCGGTCTCCTAGCGGCGGTCTCGGCTCTCCTCTGCACCCCTCGGCCCCTCTGCGGTGACCGCTGTCACTGCCGTCTGCGGCCAACCGGTCTCATAAGAGGCGGCGACGCGGAGCGACGGACCCAAACGGCGTGCTATGAAATACGAAAACAAACATAACTGGCCGCGCGGCGACGGGCACGTGGCTAAAACGGCGCCGAAATTGCATTCTGCGCTAGTTTATAACGGTCGAACTTGGCTCTCGAGGCGTGGTCAGTGCCATATTAAAGGGGGAAAGTTTCGTCGCTCATTTAATTTGGTGTCGTCTCGCTGCGGCCGCGCACATTGCAGACCGAGTCGGCTGGTCCGGGCGCAGAGCGCGCCACGCCTGTTTTGTTCCGCCATCTGATTTAATAACATTGCTATAGAATTTGTCCTGAAATGAGAATCGTCCGGATTTATGGGGAAATAAATCTTGATGGATATCAACTTGGCTTACTTTAAATGGCTCTCATAACGCCCGAGACGTGGTCCCTTGAGAGACTCCAATAAAACGGTGGTCACAGCGGTTTGGCCAAAAAGTTATGGCGCTGGGTTTTGATTTACGCTCGTTATATCAAGACAAATAAGCGCGCCTTGCGGCGCATTAAAACACGCGGATGAGATTTACGGGCCCGTTTGGTCGGAGATGAATGGGAGAACTTGTGCCGGGGCCTCTGGCGCCCGGGAAAAGGTGGCCGTCGGCTGGATGCGGACTTCTGGGCCCGGCACGTGACGGCCCATACGGCTCCCAGTGAGAGACATTGAGCGTCCCAGGGTGACCAGGATGGACGGTGC